CTCCTCCCTCACCCCCATCCCAGGCCCCAAGAAGACTTTCCACATCAAGCAGATGTTCACCTGCACATCTGCTAATGTGGTATACTGCATCAGCTGTACCCATTGTGGCCTCCTCTACATCGGGGAAACCAAGCGGAGGCTCGGGGACCGCTTTGCAGAACACCTACGCTTGGTTCGTAATAAACAACTGCACCTCCCAGTTGCGAACCATTTCAACTCCCCCTCCCATTCCTCAGACGACATGTCCATCCTGGGCCTCCTGCAGTGCCACAACGATGCTACCCGAAAGTTGCAGGAACAGCAACTCATATTCCGCTTGGGAACCCTGCAGCCCAATGGTATCAATGTGGATTTCACAAGCTTCAAAATCTCCCCTCCCCCTACCGCATCCCAAAACCAGCCCAGCTCGTCCCCGCCTCCCTAACCTGTTCTTCCTCCCACCTATCCCCTCCTCCCACCTCAAGCCGCACCCCCATTTCCTACCTACTAACCTCATCCTGCCCCCTTGACCTGCCCGTCCTCCCTGGACTGACGTATCTCCTCCCTACCTCCCCACCTACACTCACCTTTACTGGCTCCATCCCCGCCTGTTTGACCTGTCTGTCTCCTCTCCACCTATGTTCTCCTCTATCCATCTTCTATCCGCCTGCCCCTCTCTCCCTACTTATTTCAGAACCCCCTTCCCCTCCCCCATTTCTGATGAAGGGTCTAGGCCCGAAACATCAGCCTTCCTGCTCCTATGATGCTGCTTGGCCTGCTGTGTTCATCCAGCTCTACACCTTGTTATCTCAGATTTTCCAGCATCTGCAGGTCCTACTATCTCTGATACACTATGAAGGGAGTGTATTTTTTCCCTAAGGGTGATTAGAACCAGGGGCACATTTTAAAAGTAAAGTATCTGCCATTTAATGTGGAACTGAGGGAATTACTTTTCTGAGCGTTGAGAGTCTCTGGAAGTCACAACAGAATGATAAAGATGGTGCTGTTAAATATTTGAAGGCAGATTCTTGACTGGCAAGGGGGTCAAAGTGTATCTGGATAGGCGAGAACATGGAGTTGAGGCTATCATCAGATCAACACGATGTTATCAAATGAAGAGAACAGGCTAGAGGGGCCGAACGACCACCTCCTGCTCCTAAATCATATGTTCATTTGTGTGATCAGAGAAACAGCAATTCTGAGGGCAATGTTTTTTGAAACCATTTAAACTAGCAGGTGATATGGAAGGGAAAGCCAAGGAGATTGAACATATCTATTTACGGACTTAATGATGCATCAAGAGCATTGTATTTCTCAATTAGATTGGTCTTGTTGAAAGTGCAATGAACAGATTTCCACGTATCACTGAGAAATCAGCCAGCAGCTTTATGATATGTGTCACTGACTTTGTTTTGGAGGGTTGTGTGGAATTTGAGCAAGGTGCAATAGGTGAAATAAAAGGGATATTTTAGATTGGAAGTCAGGTTTTGAGGACTTCTAACTTTTAACTATGTCAGATTAATCAGAAGAAAATGGTAGTGTTCCTACTTCTGGGTCAGAAGGCGTGCGTTTAAGTGCCAGTTAAGGATATATTGATCATGGAGGTGTATCATCCAAACAGGTTAATTTAAGAATAATCATACAATGGAGATGAACATTGTCTTAAGCAGAACCTTGTTCAATAAAAGACTGAGGCTGTACAAGGGCTGAGTGTATGCAGCTGCAGCCCCAGAGGGACTATTCAATTTGAAGGACATCCCTGTGGTTCTGACCCTGGCCAAGGTGCGCATTCACAGGTCTAGTCAATGGATTACAGTGGGGGCTATTAGCCCTGATAGACTGCTCGTGGCAGTCCTGTGCAACCAAAGGTTAAGTAGGTTCACAGACTCCTCCAGGCTACTTTTGAGGAGCCTGTGTTGCGTTTATGCACAGACTGTAGTCCCTCTTTTGTTACTCTGATCTGGGGTACCGAATAAAGTCTACCTGAGAGTTAAGATTTCTGATTAAAAGTTCTGGCTGAATATGATTGGGCCATTATTGATTCACTCCTCATGCTGGGAGGGGGGGTGGAATTGGTGTTCCCAAGTCTGTTTCTCACATTCCATGATGAGTGCAAGACAGAAAGTTTCAACTTAGTGCCTTCTTTTAGCAATATTTCTGTTCTGTCCTATCAAGCAATTACAAATGGTTTACAGCAAATTTCCACAATTAGGTGATGTGTCCAGGTACTGGGGTGTCAATTGACCAGAATGTAAGGAAACTGCACCTCCCCCACTTTGTTTTACTTTTGAAATGTGATATAATAAGAAGCTACAACATTTCTCAGTGGATTTACGTTAAGCCACATTTGGAATACTGTGTGCAGTTCTGGTCTCCCTGCTATAGGAAGGGTATTGTGAAATTTGAAAGGGTTCAGTAAAGATTTGCCAGGATGTTGTCAGGGTTGGAGCATTTAACTGGCTGAGTGTGCTGGGGCTGTTTTCTCTGGAGCATCAGAGGCTGAGGGGTGGCCTTCTAGAAGTTTTTAAAATCATGAGGGGCGTGGATAGGATAAATAGACAAGGCCTTTTCCCCAAAGTAGAGGAGTCCAAAACTAGAGGGCACAGGTTTAAGGTGAGAGGGGTAAAATTTAAAAGGGACCTAAGGGGCAACTTTTTCACACAGAGGGTGGTACGTGTATGGAATGATCTGTCAGAGGAAGTGGTGGAGGCTGGTACAATAACACCATTTAAAAGGCATCTGGATGGGTATATGAATAAAAGGGTTGAGAGGGATATGGACCAAATGCTGGCAAATTGGACTAGATTTATTTAAGATATCTGGTTGGCATGGAAGAGTTGGACTGAAGGGTTTGTTTCTGTGCTGTATATCTCTAGGATTCTAAGGTACTGTATGTAATGTAATGTAATAATAATAATGTACTGCCTGGAAATGTGTGGAGGCAAGTTCAGTTGAGGCATTCAGGGGAGCAATGAACGTTTATTGGAATACTAAAGGTTTACAGGGATATGATGAAAAAGCAGGAGATTGTCACGAGAAGTAGAAGTGGTGCAGGCATGATGGGCCAAATGACCTCCTTCTATGATTCTGCCTTACCATAAGGTGTAGGAGCAGAAGCAGGCCATTTGGCCCAATAAGGCTGCTCTGCCATTCAGTGGCATCATGGCTGATCTGCTGTCCTTGTTAGAAAGGAATATCTTCAATTGTTTCAGATTTATAACATCTTTGCCAGTGAATATGTGACCATGCTGCTATTATGAAGTCCAGAAAAGACTCCCATATCTCATTCCAGCATTTCCAATTGCTCTAAACATCAGACTTTGCATAGTGATACCTTGCTGTGTACACGTTAGCAGTTGATTTTCCTACATAACGGCAGAGGCTGTATTTCTTTGATTGTAAAGTGCTTTGTGAATCTCTGGAGTTGAAAGATACTGAATAAGCGGAAGTGGGTTGGTTAAAGAGAAAAGCTCTTGTGTTTTTGTCTTTCTCCAGATCCTCTCCCCACACCCACCATTTCCAGTAACTACAGCCTCGAGCACCACACAGTGATGCTGAACTGTGTGGTGCAGAGGGGGAAGGCCCATTCTGTTCAGTGGACCAAAGGGCGACTGGCACTCCCGGCTCATGAACGTCATTGGATGTCGGAGGACAACAGAACTTTATTCATTTGGAACGCTCGGAAGTCGGACTCTGGTTATTATACGTGCACTGTTGTAAACCCAGTCGGCCAAAACAACACCACCTACCAACTATCCATTAAGAGTAAGTGTGTCAAGCTTACATGAAATTGTGGTGTCTACAGCACATGAAGTAGCCATTTTTGCCTTTACTCTTCATCTAACCTAATCATTGTATCTTCATGTACAATATCCTAACTCACAAACATCAGTGTTCCTGAGCCACAACTGTGATTGGAGTCTTTCTGCATTAAGAGGACACTGCACTTATTTGAAATGGCCACAGGATGTTTTACAAATCTCTATAAATTTATAATTGATAAAAGGTATTGCTTTCTGTAAAGATTTAATCAAAAAGACAATTTTTTTCATTTTATTTTGTAGGTTATGGACCTAATTCCAGAGGTCAATTTGCGTTGGTTCCAGCCATTGTTGTGTGTTTGGCCATGCTCCTAGGAGTAATTGCATGGTGAGTATTTGGTAATTCAGTTGGGATGAAAGGTGGGAATTGTCAGAAATTCAACACAGAAACATGTGTAAGGAAGAAAGATTATCTTACAAGAAATAAGTGAGATAGAAAGGAAAAGTAATTTGCAGAATATTTTTTAAATGCTAAAAGATTGGATGGCCTTATACTTGAATTCCAGGAAATTAACGTAAGTGCAGAAATAACTCAGGAAGATAAATGGTATGTTAACCTGGAATACCATGAGATTCATAGTTATAAAATGATAGTGGCTTCAGTACGGAAAAGTAATTTATCCCATGCTGGTTCTCCACAACAGTAATTCAGTTAGTTCCACTTCGTTATAATCTGGAACATTGATTCATTTGTGTGTTTAACTAATCTCCTTTTGAAAACTAATGATTGAGTACTAATCAACGAACCCTACAGGCAATCCATTCCAAATTATAGCCACACATTGAGTAAAATGCAGTTTGCATGTTGCCATTTTATTTGCCAATTGCCTTAAAGTTTCTTGAGCCATCCAGGAACAGAAATAGTTTCTCCCGTTTTGCTCTGTCTAGACCTGTCTTTTAAATATCTCTATCAAATCGCACCCAAATCTCCACTTTGGTGTAAGAATAACTCCATTTCTGCAAATTGCCAGTAAAACCAAAATCCTCATTCCTGAAATATTTTCTTCACTCAGTCTAAAACCTTCACTACCTTCTTTCTAAAGAAAGGTGCCCGGAGTTTAGTGCAATATTCTAGTTACGCTTAAACATTTTCTAAAATAAAGTTCCAGCCTGCCTTCCTTTTGTAATTTATGCCTCTATTTATAAAACCTCACTTTAGCCACTTTCTCAACAATCTTTAATGATTGGTACACATGTACCCCACCCTCCAGGGTCTCATTGTTCCTGCACATCATTTAGAACTCCAGTCTTTGGTTTACATCTAATATTTTGGTTAGGGTATATCAAGTTACACTTCTCTGCATGAAATCTTATCTATCACGCATTTGTCTATTCCACCAGCCTTCATTTCTATTGCCATCTCTTACTTCCTATAGCTGTAACTATAAGTTTGTATCATCTGCAAATTGTGCCCTGTGCCCCTTTGGCTATTATTATTTACCGCTGGAAAACCACGGTCTTAAAACCCTTTTTAAACAAAAATGTGACGTTGCAATTTTTTTAACCCTCTGAAGCTATCAGTATATCTAAGCACTATTACATAATTATGCAGTACCTATGCAATTTCCATTCTTATTCCCTCAGTATCTCATCCAGGTCTGGTGTCATAACATTTAATATTAGCGGGTTGATCTAGTACCTCCAATTTGTCAATTTTTCACGCATTCAGTATTTCTGCTACCTCCTCTCTTACTGAGATAGTTTGTTTTTCACGACACCATCATTAAATGGATTCAAACTAAATAAATTTTTAGATTTGATGACAGGCGTTAACAATGTAGTAGTTGCAATCAGGTGTTTTTTCCTCTAGAGGTGGCGTACTTAATCCCTGATACAGCTCACTAGGAACATGACTCCTGTTCCTCAATACCAAACACCCCTCACCAGTCCACCCCCTGAAGAACAAGCAGAGGGAGGGTCACGTTGGCTCAGTTGTTAGCATTGCTGCCTCACAGCACCACGGACCCAGGTTCGAATCCTCCCTGGAGTGACTGTGTGGAGTTTGTTCATTCTGACCATGTCTGCGTGCTCTGGTTTCCTCCCACAGTCCGAGGATGTGCGGGTTAGGTGAATTGGCAGGTGCTAAGGTGCCTGCAATAACCAGGGATGTAGAAATACGGGGTTACTGAGATAAGGTGGTATGCTGTTCGGAGAGTTGGTGTGAGCTCGATGGGCTGAATGGCCTGCTTCCGCGCTGTAGGATCCTATGTCACGGAGAGGTCAGATACTGTCCCTTCTCCAGCTACACCCCGGTCTGTTCCCAAGTCTACATAATTGTCATGCTGGGCCCACAGCACCTTGAGAACTAGGGCAGAAAGCTACACAGCTGAGGAATGACAATTCACAGAACGCGCTCTATTACTAACTTTTTTTTTTCCCCACGAACGTTGAGTCGTGACTGTCGGATGCGCGGGGGAAACTGAAGATGTGAGAGAATCTGCAACCTCTCAATCTCCGTCCTTAAACTACTGCTCCATCTGAGCGGAGATTTGACATAATTCCGGAAGCTTACCTAACAGATGTTTGCCCCACAGCTGTCACAGGAGCGGAATTCCCAGCAGAGCCGAATGAGGCAGACTGTTATTTCTCATGCTGAAGTGGAAGTTTTTGTTTTAGGTTTACCGTGGAGGTGACCAGATGAGCTCGATCGTCTCTGAGACCTTTTTAGAATTTAAAAAAAAATCTGCTGCTTTTACGTTACTATGGAAATGTTGAGATCTGTCACTCTTGGAAATTAAAAAAGAGTCCCTCCGTTCCCAAGAACTGCTGCATTTATGAAGGTCATTTAAGACCATCGCCTCCAGGGCAAGTAGGGAGGGATGTGTAATAAATGCTGACCCACACGGTGCAGCCCACCTCCTATAGACAGTTTCAAACAATCTGGTCTGCTGGGTTAAGACACACGGCTGGAGCAGGTCGATTTGAACCCAGGGCTACCCTGGTCCCGCGGTTCGTAAAAACAAAACGCTGTTCCAACAGACGCCAGCGCCGCGGTTATCCACATCTCGGACACGCACTGGTTCAAGGTTGCACTGATTCTACGTCAAGAGTTAACCTCAGGGAGGGTTTCCATGAGAGAATATTCATGGGGGCTGGGGTAGGGTGGGAGGATTCTCCGGGAACACCCTAAACTTGAGGGCAAGAGTTCCCATGTAAATCCCATCAAATGCTACTCACGTGCCAGTGTGTGAAGTGAGGAACGGGGATAAATTGAGGACGAAATATAGTCGATTGCATGGTCTAAATTTATTACAACGTCAGTCTGGCAGTGTCTGAGTATTTTCTGAAGTTGTTCGATCCCAACAGCTCTTGAAATGATTAGAATTTTACGACATCCCCGGGACACCCGCGTCTCCAGGTGAAGCTTATGTCATTTTGTCCCAATGTCTCTGGCCCGAACAGCAGAACACACAGGCTCCAGGCACACGGAGCTCTCTGCTATTCCTCGGCCGTTTAGCGGGTGGGGGCCTGTAACAGGAACGTTCACGGTTCAAAGCGGACTGGCATCATTCCTTACCAATTCCCTCGGGAACACACCGCTTGCTTCCCAGGCGGCAGCAGAGTGCAGATCCGTAATGTCTCTCCACAAGCAAAGAGCAGCCAGATTACGGCAGATTGTAAACTCTTGCCTGTCTGGTTGTGGTCTGATAAAGTCACATTCCCTTTAGTAGCTCTGTCCACAGCATCTGTATAAACTGCCGTCGCATACACACCACTGTCACTGGCCTGTAAATCCCGCAGACACAATGATCCAGGTTCTGAATCGAGGTGAGCTCGATAAGACTATAAGGCATAGGAGCCGAAATTAGGCCATTCGGCCCATCGAGTCTGCTCCGCCAATCAATCATGGCTAAGTTTCTCAACCCCATTCTCCCGCTTTCTCCCTGTAACTTTTGATTCCCTGCAACAATCAAAAAGCTATCCATCTCTGTCTTAAATATACTCAATGACCTGGCCTCCACAGCCTTCTGTGGCAATGAATTCCATAGATTCACCACTCTCAGGCTGAAAACGTTTCTCCTTACCTCCGATATAAAGGTTCTTGCCTTTACTCTAAGGCTGTGCCCTCGGGTCCTAATCTCTCCTCCTAGTGGAAATATCTTCCAATGTACACTCTGTCCAGGCCATTCAGTATTCTGTAAGTTTCAATTAGATTCCCCCCTCATTCTTTTAAACTCCATCCAATATAGATCCAGAGTCCTCAAACATTCCTCATATGTTACACTTTTCATTCCTGGGACCATTCTGGTGAGCCTCCTCCAAATCTGCTTCAGGGCCAGTACATCCTTCCTGAAGTATGGGGCCCAAAATTGCTCACAATATGCTAAATGTGGTCTGATCAAAGCCTTACAAAGCCTCAGAAGTGCATCCCTGCTTTTATATTCTAGTCCTCTTGAAATAAATGCCAACATTGTATTTGCTTTCCCAACTACCAACTCAACCTGCAAGTTTACCTTAAGAGAATGCTGAACTAAGACTCCCAAGTCCCTTTGCACTTCAGAGTTATGAGTGGTGTACCACAAGGATCTGTTCTGGGTTCTCTTCTATTTGTGATTTTTTGTAAATGATTTGGATGTAGGAGTGGAAGGGTGGATTAGTAAATTCGCGGATGATACGAAGGTGGGTCGAGTTGTGGATAGTGCGGAGGGCTGTTCTAGATTACAAAGGGACATTGATAGTTTGCAGAGTTGGGCGGAGAAGTGGCAGATGGAGTTTAGCACTGAAAAGTGTGAGGTGATTCATTTTGGAAGGACAAATTTGAAAGCAGAATACAGGGTTAACGGAAAGATTCTTGGCAGTGTGGAGAAGCAGAGGGATCTTGGGGTTCATGTCCACAGTTCCCTGAAAGCTGCCACCCAGGTGGAGAGAGTTGTTAAGAAGATGTATGGTGTGTTAGCTTTCATTAATAGAGGGATTGAGTTCAAGAGCCGTGAAGTTATGCTTCAGCTGTACAAAACCCTGTTTCGGCCGCATCTGGAGTACTGTGTCCAGTTCTCCTCATTACAGGAAGGATGGGTAAGTGTTGGAAAAGATGCAGAGGAGATTTACCAGAATGTTGCCTGGAATGGAGGGAAGGTCTTACAAGGAAAGGTTGAGAGAAGTAAGGTTTTTCTCTTTAGAACGACGAAGGATGAGAGGTGACTTGATAGAGGTGTACAAAATAATCAGACGTATAGATAGAGTGGACAGCCAGAGACTTTTACCTAGGGTGGAGGTAGGTATTATGAGGGGGCATAGTTACAAAGTGAGTGGAGGTAGATATAGGGGAGACATCAGAGGTAGGTTCTTTCTTCAGAAAGTGGTCGGGGCGTGGAATGCATTGCCGGAGAGGGTAGTGGAGTCGGCCTCATTAGGGGCATTTAAGCGGCTATTAGACAGGCATATGGATGATAGTATAAGGTAGGGGTGGAGGTTAGATAGACCTTAGGTTTCGGGTAAAAGTTCAGCACAACATCGTGGGCCGAAGGGCCTGTACTGTGCTGTACTGTTCTATGGATCCTTAAAGTGGAGGAGGGTGTGCGTGTGGATTAGGAGACAGAGAGACTGAAAGATTGGTTCACTGTCCCGTACACTTCTTTCTGAGGGACAGTCAGGGAAATAGCACCGCTTCCAGAGGCTGTAATAAGATCAAACACAACATCAGTATCGGAAAGGAATGGGCAGTTTATAATTCCTGATCAAGTTCTCCACACGGGGCGGAGCAGGTAGGGGAATTGTTTGAAATTGCGTAACGCTGTGAGCAGCAGCGGGAAGGTTAACATGAACACAACAGCCGGTTAACATCAAATTAGAAAACCGTGCAAAACACAGGGAGGCCGTTCGGCCCATGCTGCTAGAAGGCGCCGTGTGTAGTTGGTCCCCACTAGTCCCAATCTCCCGCTCTGTTCCTCCTTATGTCATGTTTAATCTTGATTCCGTTCCACAATGCAAGTGTCTGCTGGCTTTGCTTCAACAGCGATCCTTTATAAATTGAATTAGGAACATGGGACACTTTAATAATTTCATAAATCCTACAAAAACGAAATCTGGGAGAATGGCCCAGGAGAAGTCGAGGAGAATAGCATCGGTGTATCTAACGGGCTGGATAAGGGGATGACCCTTATATAAAGGACCTTTAGATAAAGTGAATATGTGGCGGGGCCTGAAATATCGTTTCGACATTTCCGAGCCAACCTTTTTTTTTTAAAATCCTATTTTCTAGTCACCGTGTTCGGAGATGTTATAACACAGTTTGAACCCGAGGTCATCTACTCCAGAGGTAGGGACACCACCACTTAACGGAGACGGCAAAAGCCCCGGAACAGAAAGAGAAGCTGTGTTGTCCGGCACACGGTTAACTCCGGTTACCAGCGCCTGAATATGACAGCAACAGGAACTGGCTCAGATGAGAATCTCCTTCTGAAATTGGGCAGGATTGGAATGTGCAGTTGAAGTGAACAGGGCGACGTGGCTAAATTATTTCGCAAACAATTCAACATTTAAAAATCAATCGTCGTTAACAAAGGAGTGTGAAAATCAAGCCAGCCCGAATGATAAATTTAATCTTTAACCTGAACATTTTGCATAAAACACGCAAATGGAGATTTTTGAGGTCTGATTCAAAGGTTATAGAGTCATGCAGCACGGAAACAGACCCTTCGGTCCAACCAGTCCATGCCGACCATAAGCCCAAACTTAACTAGTCCCGCCTACCTGCATTTGGCACACATCCCTCCTAATCTTCCCTATTCACATACTTATCCAAATGACTTTTCAACTTTGTAACTGTACCCGCATCCATCACTTCCTCTAAACGTTCATTCCACACACAAGCCACTCTGTGTAAAACAGTTGCCCTTTATGTTTGTTTTTTAAATCTTTCTCCTCTCACCTTAAAAATGCCCCCCAGTTTTGAAATCCACCCCACCCCCCCAGAGGGAAAATACACCTACCATTCCCCTTATCTCATGATTTTACAAACTTCTATAACGTCAATGCCAATCTCCTACACTCCAGTGAAAAAAGGTCACAGCCTCTCCTTGTAACTCAAACCCTCCATTACCGGCAACATTCTGGTAAATCTTTTCTGAACCCTGTCCGGCTTAATAATATACTACCTATAATAGGGTGACCAGAATGGGACACAGTACTCCAGAAGAGTCCTCACCAATATCCTGTAAAACCTCATCATGAACTCTGATATCAATGTTGAAGGCAAGCATGCTGATCACCTTCTTAACCACCCTGTCTATATGTGACACAAATTTTGAAGAACTATGTATCTGAACCTTGAGGTGTCTTGTTCTACAACCCTACCCAAGACCTACCATTAACTTATAAATTCTGTCCTCGTTTGTTTTACCAAAATGCAATACCTAGCATTTATCCAAATTAAATTCAATCTGGTACTTCTCAGTCCATTGATTCAATTGATCAAGATATCTTTGTAATCTTAGATAACCTTCTTCACTGTACACTATACCACCAATTTTGGTGGCATACGCAAACTTATGAGCCAAGTATTCGATATTCTCATCTAAATCATTTATATATATGACAACAAAAATGCACTCAACACTGATCCCTGAGGAACAGCGCTGTGAATAAGCCTCCAGGCCAGAAAACAACTCTCCACATCACGCTCTATCTTCTGCCATTATGTCAAGTTTGTATCCAATTGGCAAGCTCAACCTGAATCCCATGTACTAATTAGTCCACCGTGTGGAACCTTGCCAAAGGCTTTACTAAAGCTCAAGTAAACCACGTCTACTGGTCTGCCATCATCCTTCTACTTGGTTACACAATTTCCCTCACACAAAACCATGCTGATTATCCTTAATCATTCCTTGCCTCTCCAAATGCCGATAAATTCTACCTTTCAGAGTCACCTCCAATAACTTACTCACCACTAAAGTCAGACTTACAGGTCTGTAGTTGCCAGCCTTCTAATTGCATCCCTTCTGAAGGAAGGGCACAGCATTAGACACTCACCAGTAATCCAGCATCTCACTTCATAGTTATAGGTGATACAAATATTTTGACAATGGGCCCTGCAATTCATTGCCTAACCTCCCACAATTTTCTGGCATACACTAGATCAGGTCCCAGAGATTTGTCTACCTTTATATTTTCTAAGGCCGCCAGCAATTCCTCTTCTGTAATGTGAACTGTTTTCAAAACATCAATATTTATTTCCCTGCGTTCTCTAGCCTCCATTTCTTCTTCCACAATAAACACTGATGTGAAATATTCATTACTATCTATCCTTCTCTGAGGTTGAACACAAAGATAACTTCTTTGATCTTTAAGGGGCCCTATCTCTCTAGTTGCTTTCTTGCGCTTAATATATTTGTAGAATCTCTTTGAATGATCTTTCACCTTAACTGCCAAAGCTGCCTCATATCTCCTCTTTGACTTCTGGTGTCCCTCTTAAGAATGCCCATACACTCTTTATACTGTTCAAGAGATTCATTTAAACTGCCCATTTCTGAAGAAGGATCCCGACCGAAACGTCAGCTTTCCTGTTCCTCTGATGCTGCCTGGCCTGCTGTGTCCCTCCAGCTCCACACTGTGTTATCTCATTTAAACCCAGTTGTCCATATCCATTATATATATTTTTTTTTAATTTTACTGGAACTCTACTATCTTCTGAACTCTTGTTATCACACTTTTGAAAGCCTCCCACTTACCAGAGTCCCTTTACCTGCAAACAGTCTACACCAATCAACTTCTGAAAGTTCTTGTCTCATATCATTAAATTTTGGCTTACTCCAATTAGGAACTTCGAATTTTTAAGGAAGGCTTAGCCTTTCCACAACAATTTTAAAACTAATAGAATTATGATTACTCTACCCAAAGTACTCACCTACTATCACTTCAGTCACTTGCCTGCCTTATTATCCAAGAGAAGATCAAGTTTTGCTCCTTCTCTAGTAGGAGTATTACGTATTGATAACGAAAATTTTCTTGAACACATTTAACAAATTCTTCACATTCCAAACCTTTTGCACTATGGTAGTACCAGTCAATGTTTGGAAAATTAAAATCATCTACTGTTGCAGCCTTATTATTCTCACATATGTCTCTACATACTTGCTCCTCAGTTTCCCTCTGATTGTTGGGGGCCTATAGTACAATCCAATCAAGGTGATCATTCCTTTCTTATTTCTAATTTCAATCTATCTATTTTCACAGAACGATTTTTCAGATATATCTTCTCTAATTAGAGCAGTAATGTTTTCCTTATTCAAAACGCTGTTCCCCCTCCTCTCTTGCCTCTCTTTCTATCCTCCCTGTAACATTTGAAATACGTGAGTGCACAGCTCCACTGTGACCTGGCTCTAATTCTCATCTCGTCTATCGTAAGCCTCAATGCTCTCTCGCCACTTCCACTTGCTCTATCGCTCCCTGCGCTCCTGTATCTCAACCTTCGTTGCCCTATCAAATCCTGCATCGCTCTATCGCCACTTCCACCGCTCTACCCCTACCTACACTACCGTACCTCAATCTTCACCTATCGCCACTTGCATCACTCTACCATCACTTCCGTAGCACTCTCGCTTCCAGAAGATCAGCGTATTCATTGAGCAATTCAAGCTGTAGTTAAAATTTCAAAGGGCTCTTTTTTTCCCCTGACCAGTAGCGAGAGGGCGCGGAATCGACCTATTCATAACAACAACGGCAGAATGGCACTACAAATTTTATAAACGGAGATTAAATCAAACCATTGCGGATGCTGGAGATCTGAAATAGAAAGGAAAAGTGCTGGAGAAACTCAGCAGGTTCGTCTGTGGAGAGAGAGACCAGAGTTCACGCTTAGAGTCGAATATGATCTTACAACCTGAGTTCAGTTTCACTTAACTGCATGTGAGTGAGTGACTGAAACTCCGCTCTCAATAAACACTGTCAAAAGTCTCGAAACTTCCAAAATGACCCCTTTAATGATAAATGTCAATGAATTTACCAGAAATGGACACAAAATAACTGATCAAAAGGCAGCGCTGATGAATTCAAAGAGAGGTTTATTTTTTTTTGCACATATTCCTGACATCAAGGCATCAATAACAAAAAAAGGGACAGCGATAACGGAATGTGATGGAGGCTCACGTTTTCCAAATGTCCAATAACAAAGCAAGCTCTGCACCCAAATAACAATAACCGTTAGGTTCGATGATCTGTGATCACACAGCATGTCCAAGTAGAGTAAGCAAGTGAGAGTCAGGTTAAAATGACACAATCATTGTTATAAAAGTGCAGATCAATATAACACCAACCTTCTCTCTTTCAAATACCGTCCAAAACAAAAAAAAAACAGACTGAGCTACTGCACTCTCAGGGTGGGACGGTGGCTCAGTGGTTCACACTGCTGTCTCACAGCACCAGGGAGCCGGCTTTGGTTCCAGCCTTTGTGTGGCAATTGCTCGCTCTCTCCGTTTCTGCTCTGGTTCTCCCCCGTAGTCCAAAGATGTGCAAGTTAGGTGGGTTAGTCGTGGAAAATGCAGGGTTACAGGGATTTGTCGGGGTGGGATGATTTTCATAGGGTCAGTACTGACTCGCTGGACCGAATGGCCTTTTCCCGGACTGTAGGGATTCTATTATTAACCGTTTTGTTGCCTTCCTTATTCAGCCACTGAATTATCTCTGTGTCACTGACTGTTTTTGTACAGACATTAATCCTGCAGTCCCCCACTGTCACTCAGCAACTGCTACCGTAACCCCCGCCGAACGGGTTGTATCTGTACTGAGGTGACAGAAATGGCGCGGAATGATCCCTTGATCCACACACATTGTAGATCAGTAACTCCTTCCCCAGTCCCAATGTTACCGTCTGCGTCTGTATCCCGTATTAACCCTGTTCACTCTCACTAGTGTGCTAACTCCTCCGACAGACGGTCCTATCTCACTGATTGTAGCTGTACTTACTTTAATCCAGTTTGCAAGCGGATTCACTCAGTGATACGTTGTTTCCCAAACTAATTCCTGCAGAGCATTCCAAACTGTGCTGGTTTGAGGATGATACACAAGGTTTTACTGTACTTAGGAGCAACATGAGAATATAATGCCAGCTGCTCCAGTCTCTCTTCATACACCAACCCTGCCATCCCAGGAATCAATTTGCACTCCCTCCATCGCCAGAACATCCTTCTTCAGTTAAGGAGACCAAAACTGCACATAATACTCCAGGTATAACACAGTGTGGAGCTGGCGGAACACAGCAGGCCAGGCAGCATCACAGGAGCAGGAAAGCTGACTTTTTGGGTTGGCAGTTATCTCTAACTCCGGCAGCTGTAGTTCTTACTGTCTAATAATACTCCAGGTGTGGTCTCACCAAGGAACTGTACAATTGCAGTAAGACATCCCTGCTCCTGTACTTTAGTCTTCTAGCTGTAAAGGCCAACATTTGCCTTCCTCCTCCCCTACTGCACCTGCATGCTGACTTTTAGCAACTGGTGCACGAGGATACCCAGGTGTCTTTGCACCCTGCCCTTTCCAGCCGAGACCTGACCCGTCAACTCTGGGCATTGGAAATGTACTGGTTTGACAGTAAAACGCAGCATCCTCTTCACGCCCAACTGGATTTTGTAATTAAGGCCAGAGACTTT